ATTTAATATGTGATATTATCACATATTAGTTTTTCATTAAAAACATGCACAGGTGCCAAACAAATTTTGTATGATGATATTAAATGTTAAATAATTAGTAATATGTTTTAATCAATAATTTAAAAAGATAATTTATCTTAATTTTTTTTAAGAAACAAATCTATCTCTATTCTCTTATTTAAAAATTAAATTTAAGAGTCCTACCTTTTGTAAATATTCTCCCTTTCACTAAATTCCTTAATGTTCAACATACACAATTTGTTCTTCTTCAATAAAATGTATCAAGAGTCTTGTTAGCATCCAATTGGACTGGGATTGTCTCGAAATTTAATTTTTCTCCTATTGTTCTTAAACTCGAAACCTATAAAATGCTCCCTCCTCATATAAAAGGAAAGAAGAAGATTAGTGCTAATCTTTTTAAATTGTTGATGATGACAAAATTGGAGGCACAGAGCATGTGATTGTTGAATGGTTGTGTGGCGCAAATGAATGTGGCAAAAGAACCATTATCCAAACTTTATGGTAACCACCCACCCAACAGACTCTTATCTTTTGTCATCTTTGCTTTAAATAACAGGAACATTTTTTGCCCATGTAACTTTAAAAATTACAACAAAAAAAGGGTTCAGGAACGCACAGCTAGTGCACTCTGTATCCAAACAAAAACAGGGATAAGGAAATGAGCAAGCCAACGAGCCCTTTCATGTGAATGGATGATTTATTGTGCTTCCAACATTTTAAGTAACCCTCTGTAGTTCAATTCGGTTGTCGAGAAATAACTGAGAGCTTAAAATAAACTTCTTTGTTTGGACGAATCAAGCTTTTCCAACAACAATTATCAATTATTAAATATTGATTATAAACTCTTTGAAAACTGATAAACAGAACAGCGCCTAATAAATTTTTGGAATGAACTTTTTTTATTCTAGATGCCAAACAGAAAGTTCCTTATTGACACAAATTCTGAAGTCTGAACACACTGGCTTGTTAGCAACCCCTCTAATCATCCTGTAACAGGACAAAGACTTGATTTGTGAATTCCTTAGTTGCAATTTTTTTTAATTTTCATCAATCATATGCCAAAATAGAAATTAAATAGGATAAACCACTCATGAAATTTTCACAAAAATATAAGATTACATTAGGAGAGAGTTTAATAATGTCATCACACACATTCAATAATTACAGCTGCGATACATATAAAGCCAAATCATATGATCAATATAAGATACAAAAGTAGTTTAATTAACTACTCCCTTCTCTTCATAAGTTTGCTTGTAAATTTCCCCATTATGGATGACATCCTTTTTCTTGGGAAGAAGAATCCCTCTTTGTTAATGTTATGCGGCCCATAAATTGAATAAAAAATTTCAGTAAGAATCTGAGATTGCAGTGACCAAAAGACGACGACCGGAATGCTGGCGAGCAAAACTAGCGAGGAGATTACCCACCATCGATCCGGTAACATTATAGAAACAGCAGCACAAAAAGCTACCATCATTGTTGCAACAGAAATGAGGAGCGTGAGAATGCCGACAATCAACCAAAGAAAATCTTTTTCAGTGTAGGGATATGTGAGGATTCCTAAAAACGTCAGCACTGAAGTAGATGCAGCGAACAGAGAAATTGCATCTGACATTATATATGTCAAAAATAATCTTTTATGTGAGAACATGGGATAGCCATTTCCATTGTTACCACCGGGAATGGAGAAGGCTGCAGCAAACATAATAGTGATGATGAGGGTACCGACTATAATGTAAGAATTTGCTGTTTTCTTCATCCATGCTTCAGCTTCTTTTAACAATTTCATGTGTTCCCTGATAAACACTTGCCGAGGAGTTTCTCCATTGTGATTCACCTGGTCTTTATAATGTGGAACAGCAAGCTCACATTCCTGCATCAATTCATAATTAAATTAAGCTACTATTTTTTTTTTTTTTTTGAAGTAAGGCAATAATTGTAAGCTACTAATTATTTTTTCACTGTCAAACTAACAAAGGAAATGATTATAAATATTCTCCTCACAGAACACACTTGATATATCTAAATTTGCATTTTTTTTAGAGTTGGTTAAATTTCAACAAAGACATACATCCAGCGACCATGAAGAGCAAGCGGTACCAGCAGAGGACTTCGGGGGCCACGGGACAGGGAAATCGCAGGAAGCTTTCATCGACAACGGAGGATCGGAAAAATTATGGCAGATATGCGCTGTTTAGTAAGGAATTGCTGAAAAGCTCTTGGTGCTACTTATTCTCAAACTCGCCAGAAGAATGGGATGAGGCGAGACCAGTGTTGTTGATTTCGTTTGTACTGGTCGGTATGGTTGGTACCTACCGGATTTTTCATTGCATCGAAACGGTACAAAGTCTAATTTAATTTCGGCCAAATTTCACTCATTTTGGTCAAATATCGGTATACCGGCCGACATTTTGGTGTACCAACGGTGTTGACAACCACTTGAAAGTTTTTTGGAGAAGAAAGATCCTCCCTTTCTGGTGGCTGCCGAACCCCTGTGCTTACCGGTGATGAAGGTGGAGGCAGTGATGATGATGAGACGCAAGAAGATGTCAAGGTCAGAGTCCCCAAGGGGGCTTGCGGCTAGATCTGCATCGTCTTCTTGGTGATTGGTGAAGGTGGTGGCGATGAGAGTGACGATTAGCTAGAGGATGGTGAAGGTCGGAGGTGAAGGAACAGGGGTGATGGTGGCGGTCGCGGATCCGCAAAAGGGAGAAAAATCGAGAAGCTTTCTGCTTTTTTTTTTTTTTGTTATGTCTGCTGTCTCTTTCCCCCTTTAAAAGAGAGGAAACTAAGGTTTTCTTTTATCGCTAAATTTGGGTTTTGATGGGCTGGGTTATGAAATTGGGTTGAAATTTGAATTAAATTGTTGGTGGGCTCATTATTGGGGTGGATTTATGGGTTTGTGTTGGTAGATTCCAGCCTCAACTTTTTAATTTTTTTGATTGAGTTCTTTGCTTGTTATTTTTTTTGAATTTTTTCACAAAATTTTTTTATAATAATAAATTTGAAACGATAAATAAAAAAACTTTGGTGTTCGATACGCACCGTTTTAATGATAAAATCAGTACATATGTCGGTATAATATGGACAACTTTGGGCGAGACTGTGGGGTCGTTTCTCTAGATACTGCAAGGTCATCAATGTCCATATTTCAAAAAGAAGGGATAGAAATGGGGACAACTACGGTTTCGTTCGATTCATTGATGTAAAAAGTTCTTCTGCACTAGAAGAAAGGTTAAACGGAATATGGATTGATGAATTCCATATGAGGGTGAAGTTTATTTATTATAGATGGAAGGAAAGCATCAATGCTCAAGCTGGGACGGAGAGGACTGGCAGTAAGGCGCCAAGGAAAAGAATTCAGACCACCAAATGGGTGCAGAAGGGACGGACTAGAAATGTTGTGGAAGAAGACTCGACAAAAGGCCCAGCTAAGGGAGGGGAAAAGTGGGGGAGGCAAAAAGGGAAAACCAAGACATTTCTAGAGGCACTTAAGGGAAGTACGTAAAAAAAAACCGTTGCAAAAAGCAGAGAGCGTAGAATCTTGTGATGGAAAAATGGCAAAGGTGTCTAAGGAAAATGCGTTGGTAGAAGAGGTGATCGAATATAAGGTGGAAGACAAAGAATATGCTTGGCTAGAAGCTTGTGCAGGGGGGCATGTGAACTCTCTGGATTGCATTCCAGCTCTCCATGAGATATTTGAGTTGAAGGGGTACTTTAACATTGCAGTAATCCCTTTGGGAGGAAATATGGTTCTCCTCAAAAGTGATGATACTAATCTGATAAGAGAGGTGGTGGATAATGAATAGCAATGGCTAAGTAGATGGTTTGAAAGGGTACAAACGTGGTCTACATTTGATGTGAGCCAAGAGAGATTCTTGTGGGTGAAAGTTACTGGTATTCCTTTGCATGGATGGAATGAATCATGTTTCAAGCTGATTGGAAACAACCTTGGGCAGTATGTGAAAGGATAAACATGCCTTTAATACTCAGTTCATATATTTGGTAGGAATAATTTTTAATAATATATCTAGAAGAATGGGATTCATGTATACCAGTTAATTTGGGGGGAAGAACCAATGTTCATGATTTACCTATAAATAATTATGTAATTTCTCATTCTCTATCAAGTCAATTAAGAGAACCATTGTCTCCAAACCTTCCTCTCTTCTTCTGTAAAATCCTCCTAAGTCCATTTATATCCAACAGTATGTTTATGCTGATAAGCATACTTTAGACCGAAGTTGTCTAGATGCAGCTAGAATTTGCATTACAATGATAGGTCTCGCCAAGATTAACAAGTTCATAAAGTTGAAAGTGAATGGTCACGTTTTTAGAATCAAAGTTTCAAAGGAAAAATGGAGATTAGATCCTGAGTGGTGGTCATGCAGAGATAAAAGTGAGGATGGAGATGATAACACCACAGTATCAAATTCCAGTTCGATGGACTTCATCAATGACTCCAACGAACTCCTTTCTTGTGGAGGTTCCGATGAGGATGGAATAGATAGTATGGAGGAGGTTGAAGAGACAAATGAACATCACGAAGAGCGCTACCAACAGTCTCCTTTTGGGAACTTTCAAAAGTCATATGCTGAGGTCTGTACTGTTGGCGGCGAAAGTGGAGATTTTTTTTTTTTTTTTTATAAGGGTAATAGTTAGAAAGTTAGTATGAGTTAGTTGTTAACAACTGAGATTGGTGAACATTTCACGCTCTCAAATGAGGCGCGCGACCATTAGGTCGCTTGTTAGTAGAGTTCACGGCAGTAGTAGAGCTCGAATCCCTGACCACCGCCCTACCCAAACCCTAAAGTTTAGGGGTGAAGCATTGGGCCTAAGGCCGGTTCGCGGCGAAAGTGGGGATTGCTCTTGGAAGTTGGGTAATGAGGTGGATAGGCAGAGCATAGGTAACAGTTTAGGGATTAATATGGCGGCTGGATTGAAAATGATCGATCAGCCGGGAAGGATTGGGTTGGGTCAATTTGTTGGGCCACTAAATAGAGGAATGTCAAAGGCAAATGAGGAACAAGACGTTGGGCTTATGGGTGAGTCACCACAATCTCAACAAAATGGGCCAGCAGCAAAACGTGACCGGGGATCTACATAATACAAATAACAAGAAGTCAATAAGAGAAAGAAAATGGAAAGGGATGGAGGAGATGTATTGTACGGAGGAAAATGACACCAGATGGGTTACGGGGAGGAATAGAGGAAGAAGAAGAAGGAGAAATCAGTTGAGGAAACAATCGAACTCATCAAGAATTATTGGGTTATCGTTATCCGATAGTAGAATTGAGCAGTGAAATAGAATAATCCGAAGAGAGCAAAATCGAGAGGAGGTGAATAGGTTGTTGGATCTGGGGAAACAATTAGATATTAGATACAAAAATAATGAGGAGGAAATAAGGGCGAATCTGAGACAATTGGAAAAAAGAGATGGAGGCGACGGACGATGAGGAGAGGGCTGATGCTAATGCTGATTTGATAAGGTAAGTTGTGGGTCTTATTTTTGTAATCATGAAGATAGTTTTGTATAACATAAGGGGTTTAAATAGTGTGGTGAAAAGGCGAGATGTCAAATGCCTTATTTGTAGAGAAAAAGTGGACATGGTCTTGATACAGGAGATAAAAATGGAGGAAGTTGGTGCTCGGCTCTGTACAACGCTTTAGGGGTCAGATAAATTTGAGTGGGAAGCTAGAGGAGCGATGGGTGGATCAGGGATCTATTGTGCATTTAGAACAGCTCTGTGTTTGAGAAAATTTACAATGTGGCCAGTATTGGATTTGTGGGCATGAAAGGACTGTGGGGACCAAACAAAATTTCGTGTTTCATTGTGAATGTATATGCTCTGTGTGAGTTTCAAGAGAAGGTTCAATTGTGGGAGGAGCTAAATACAGTCATCTTAGGAGAAGGCAGAAGAATCTGTATAGCAGGGGATTTCAATGCTGTATTGAAGTTGGAGAAAAGAGTGGGTGGGTGGAATTGCTCAAGGGAAATCATGGCCTTCAACAATTTTATTAATGAATCCAAGTGATTGATCTACAATTGGCAGTAGAAAATACACATGTTACAAATCTGATGGATCTGCAATGAGTAGAATTGACAGATTTTTAGTTAGTTTAGAATTTCTGGAAGAATGGAGAAACTTTAGCCAAGTTGGGATGAAAAGGTCCTTATCGGATCATTATCCAATCCTATTCAATATTAACAATGCAGACTAGGGCCCTCGACCTTTTCAGTCATTGGATGGGTGGTTAGAAGTTCCAAGATTTAAAGAAATCATTAAGGAGAAATGGGAGACAGCATTGGTTGAAGGTTGGGGTGGTTTTAGATGCAAGGAGAAATTGAAAGAGTTAAAGAACTTTCTCAAAAGATGGAATAAGGAGGTATACGGGGAGAAATTGAAAGAGTTAAAGAACTTTCTCAAAAGATGGAATAAGGAGGTATACAGGGATGTTGATTAGTTGATTGAAGCTGTTAAAGAAAAAATAGGTAAGGTAGATTTGAAAGGGGAAGATTATGAATTGGATGGATAGATTTACAATCAAGAAACAAGGGGGTGAATGAGTTGTGGGATGGTATGAAAAAAAAGGAAAGATTATGGAGAGAGAAGTCTAGAGCCCATTGGGTGAAGTTGGGTGATGCAAACACTAGATACTTTCATAGATTTGCAACTATCAAGAGGTCAAGGAATTCAATTCATGGCCTATGAAGTAATGAAATTTGGGTAGAGGAGCTGAAGAAGGTAAAGGAGGAAATCAAGAAGCATTTCAAGCATCAATTCACTGAGGAAATATGGGACAGGCCAACATTAGGAGATGTGAACAGTAAAAGAATTTCCCAAGAGGACAAGAACAATTAGAAGCAGAGTTTTCTGTAAAAAAGGTGAAAGAAGCAATTCAAGATTGCAGCAGTGAAAAAGCTCCAGGGCCATATGTTCTCAATTTCAAATTCATTAAATATGCCTGGGATGTTCTTGAAGAAGATATTATGAGTTTTATGAGGGAGTTCCATGCGAATAGTAAACTGGTAAAGGGACTTAATGCCACTTTTATTGTCTTGATTCCAAAGACAGAAAAAATCCAATTGACTTGAAGGACTTTAAATCCATCAGTCTTATTAGTAGCTTATATAAAATCTTGACGAAGGTGCTTGCTAATAGGCTGCAAACAGTGATGGCTGATTTAATCAATGAGAATCAATCTGCCTTTGTGGGAGGCAGACAAATACTTGATGGCATTTTGGTGCTCAATGAAGTTGTGGATGCAGTGAAGAAGAGTAAGTAGGAAAGTTTTATCTTGAAGGTTGATTTTACAGAAGCCTACAATTGTGTGAATTGGGACTTCTTGGATAACTTGATGGAGAAAAGTGGATTTGGGGAAAGGTGGAGGAAATGGATTATGGAATGCCTGGGTTCTGCCTCAATATCAATCCTAGTTAATGGTAGTCCAACGGAGGAATTCAAGTCGGAGCAAGGATTAAGACAGGGCGATCCCCTGTCACCATTCTTATTTTTATTGGTGGCACAAGGATTTCACTGGGGATTATAGAGGGGGTGGGTATTGGAAGGGGAATTTCTCTATATCGCATTTATAGTTCGCAAACGATGCTGTTATCCTAGGCAATGCAAAATTAGAGTACATATGGCAATCAAAGGAATATTGAGATGGTTTGAGCAAATGTCTGGATTGAAAATCAACTTCAAGAAGAGCAGTCTCATTGGTCTAAATACAGAAGAATCATGGCTTACTAGGGCAGCAAAGATATTGGGATGCAAAAAGGTAGCTATTCCATTTATGTATCTTGGTATGTTGATTTGTGATGACCCTAGAAAGGAAAAGATGTGGTCAGTGGTGATTGAGAAAATTCATAAAAAACTTTTAGGTTGGCAAGCGAGATCCTTGTCATTTGGTGGCCGCCTAGTTCTCTAAAATTGGTACTTTCTTCTCTTCCACTTTATTATTCATCTACTTTTAAAATACCTATTGCTGTGTTGAAAGTGATTGAGAAACTCCAAAGATATTTTCTTATGGGAAGCTGTTGGGGATGGAGGTAGAAAAATCTGTTGGGTAGGGTGAGAAAAGATATGTCTGGAAAAGGAGAAGGGCGGCTTGGGGGTTACTAATATTAAACTAAAAAACTTCGCGTTTTTAGGGAAATGGTGGGCAAGATTTGAAACGGAGCAGAGTAGCCCTTGGAAAAAGGTGATAGTTGAGAAATATTATGGGAATGATAATGCAGCAGGTGTGGGGAATGTTAGAAGGAGACAATTGTCTAAAGTATGGGCAGATATAGTATCTATTGGGTTAGAGGGAACAAAATTTGGAATTGTAGTGGGCAAAGGACTTAGATGGGAAGTAGGAGAGGAGAATAACATTAGATTTTGGAAGGACGTGTGGGTAGGTGATGATCCTCTAGGTGAGTGTTTCCAAGACTTAGAAATATGGAAGGGGGTATAAATCGAAAAATTAGTGATATGGGGAATTGGTGCAATGGGGAGTGGGTGTGGAATTTAAAATAGAGGAGGAATTTATTTGGTAGGGACTATGATGAGAAGCAGAAATTGGTGGAGCTAATTAGCTCTGCTGGTTTGGTTAAGGAGAAAAAGGGCAGAAGAATTTGGAAATTTGATAAAGACGAACTATATACTTCTAAAAAAGCTGATGCTTTGATGCTTTCAAGTCAGAGAATTCTTGATGCAGATGTGTGCGACGCAATATGGAACCAATTTCTACTAGGAAGAATCGGCTTCTTTGCATGGAGGATGTTTCTTGACAGGCTACCAACAAAATTGAATCTGGATAGGGGAAATATCGAAGCTGAAGGTGGGGAGCTTATTTGTCCAATTTGCAAACTTGGGGTGGAAGAGCTAAACCATGTCCTATTGCAATGTGATCTTGTGAGACAAGTATGGGCAAAGATATTTTTGTGGTGGGATATTGAGGCGAGATTGATGGGAGCCATCCATACTGATTACAGGCAAATTATTAGTGGATTACTAATGCAAAGGTGCAAGAGGTATGGTCTTTTCTATTCATCATCATTGCTTGGCATATATGGGGGGTTAGGAATAATTTAATATTCAAGAAGATAGAACTTTCGGTGGACAAGACTGTTGAATCAATTCAATGTAAATTGTTTTTGTGGTTGAAGGATAGATCAAAAGGAAACCTATTTTCTATATATGATTGGAATTGCAACCCATTGGGTTGTGCAAAGACAGTGAGGTAGTTAGGTAGTTGGGGTAGAAAGAAAATATGATGCAGATGGAGAGTCTCACTGAAGCTTAATATAATTGCTATAAGTAAGGGTAGGAGTACATCTTATACTCCAAAATAAATAAAAAAAACTCTTATTTGGCTGATAAAAAAAAAATAAAGGAAATAATTATAAAATGCCATGAAATATATAAATTTTGCATGGGTGATGGAAAATTAAATATAAGCAAAGTAGTAACTACCTTGTACCATTGTAATTCCTTTTGCATTTGAAGGGCTGCACCAGAAAATTGAGCAAGATAATATTCAGGACCTAACTTGGCTGCCATGTGAAGTGCATTGTTGCCGTCGTCGTCTGCCCCTATAACCAATAACTGTCCCCGTCTAGGCGTAAATCCATGAAAAAACTTCTCTTGACGAGATTCGATTGCGTAAGGTAAAAAAACCTTTCTCTTTCCATCAATGGGGCATCCCAATATATCTGGATTATATTCTAAAATTTTAGAAAATTCTGTTATGCCATGCTGGATAGATTGGAAAAATGCTGCGACGACTCCACTCTCAATTACATCTTCCGCATTCAATTTCGATAATTCACCAGCTGTGAAAAGCAGAATATCAAGGGCACATGCATGGATCAACTTCCGTTCGTATATGTATCTGATTCCTGCATGCGTATTCCAAACTTAATATTTATTAATACATATAATAGGCAACCGAAAGGTATATATAAATTTTTACAAACTTAAAGTTTGAATCTTGAAATGGTTGGAGAAACTCATCTTTTACTGTAGAAGAGGATTTCATGAAATTAAAAACTGCCACGTACCCAAAAACTTTTGGAGCATTGAACTAAATCCACGTATGCTCGGAAAAAACAAACTCAATCCACGTTGTAGACGGCTTAGCACTGCAATATAGCTTAAAACATTGATATACAATAATTTGCGAGGTATAAATAATAATTTTCAGCATACTACTTTAAATTGTTATTTACTTATTTGTTAAAAACATATTAGACTTACATGTGTCTTGAAAAAAAGGTAGAGCAATTGATAGAGAAGTAATTAAAGACAAATCTAAAATTCTAAGTTCAATATCTTAAATTTGAACCTTGAATCAAATAGGAAGAAATTTAAGAAAATGAAAAAGTCATCTTTTCTTATATAACTCAATATTAGATATAAGAAAAAAAAAAAAATATTTTGTATCTTGAATTTATACCGTGATTGTGTGTGGGTCAACTTCAAGAAGAAAAGTTTGAAGTTAGTTTATTGGATTTTGATACCGTTAGCACCTCAGTAATGTAATAGCCATTCTCTTAATTAGTGAATTTTTTTTTTTATTTTGTGTAACTTATTGAAAAAAAAAAACAAACCACATAAAATCGGTGTTCTTCTCCCTGTTTATTTTGTTTTATTGTTATAAGCCTGGCAATTATTATCATTTAGCTGAAACACGCTTTAAAACTTGAATCAATGCATAGCTTTAGTTGAAGGACTAGGCCTCTCTTCTCCCCTCTCTCACAGTCATCACACCCTTTTTTTTCCTTAAGCTGTTGTAGCCTCTCTCCCCCAGGACAACTAAGGAAGAATAAATACAATTTGAGAGTTCTTCATTCTTCGGTACTTTTCTTTTTCAGAGAATCTTTTTCTCTTTTTAGGAGTTTTTGACTGGGCTTTCTCAATATTTTTGTTGAGTTTTTTTTTTTTTCATCGTAGAGTAGGAGACAATATTGAAGTGCCTAATTTAATTTTTTGCGTAAAACTGAAGCTAACATGTGTAGAGAATTCCAAATGCTGACAAAGATCAAAGTGGTTGTTTATCGACTCCATAATACTATTCGTGCCCTACAACAATTATTTTTATAATCTTTCAATTTAAAGTAGGTTCTTATTCTTAATTATTTAAATCTATTTATGAGCACTTATTGCCTCTTACTATATATGCTAAAGGTATAGCTTTAAACTCTTTGTGGGTCTGTTTTTCCTTTGCTTGCATGGCACCTATCATAGATTTACTTGAGGTATTATACTCCTTTATCAATAAATCCATGATTGTTAAAAAAAAAAAAAAAAAAAAACATACCTTGTCTTCTGATGTCATTCTGTTCGTTTTGGTAAATTGAAGTAATAGAAATGCCAACATCAGTAGAGGGTGCAGGTGGCCGCTTTACTTCCTTATCTTCACTAGCAACGGATATTCCATAATAAATCCATCGCTGCAGAAATGAAAGCTGGGTTCCGCTAGGGAATAGAGAGGCTTGAGCAGATAATGTTAGAATTGG